ACTAACTTGTCGGTTGGTGGGACACTCCCTACTTCTCCTGTTTAAGGTGAATTTTAACTGTGTGTTTACAAGATAAAACACTGTACTTGCTTTTTTGCACAGCGCATTGGTACGCAAAAGCCTCTGTTTTTCAGGATGGTTGTTCATTCAAACGAGGGCCTAAACCAAAGTGCATCGCTCTAATATTTGTGGATGAATTACACAGAAGGAGTGTAGATGCCACACTTAAGGCTTTTCTCCCTAGTTCCATTAAAAGGGCTTTGATTGGGGGGGTGGGCCTCTGTGTAAGTTGATATCTTATTACATATATGTCCAGAAGTATGTTCCAGTCAGATCCATCGTGTCCTGGTGAGTAAAGACCAATACTAACGTAATATTTGTATTAATTACTAAAGACCTTTGTTCACTTTTAAAAGAAAGGCGCGTCGCTGATGGAACTGTCCATGGCATCGTCAACAAAGTGCAGTTCACCACCAGAGGGAGCCCTGATCGTAACGTTGGAACACAAGGTATCCCGAGAAATGAGAGAATTAATAAAGAAATAATGATAAATAATGAGTTTTGTACTTTTATTGCACTTTTAGGAGCCACAGTCATCGCCATCTCTGCCGAGACGTATACAGCTGCAGTGGCTTGTCTCGCTCCAGTCAGATGATCCACAGACTTCTGTAAGTTATTATCTGAAAATAATTTAAATCTGATAAAGTAGAATGTAAAGTTACACTAAACGTGTGTTTTAGGATCCAGAAACTTTTCTGGAGTGTGACCCATCAGATGTTCTCGGCCACATGTGAGTAAGGGGTGATCGAGGCCTGGTCCAATAAGAGACTTGGCCCAACACAAGGGAGAAGGCCTTCAGTCTGTGTAATCTGCCGTTACTCTGAAGTTCAGTCTAATCAAAAGTGAAGCATCACTCCTGATGAAGATCCCCAGAGGAACAAGAAACTCCAACAGTGGTGAGAGAAAAGAACCTATACTAAATCTTTGCAAGTTTTGTAACAAGATTTTTACTGTCTGATCCCTGTGTTATATTGTAACTGTACAGGTGCTGAGGAGCACATTGGACCTGTGGATTTAATGGAGGAACAAAAAGAGACAAATGGTTTTTGGAGGACTCAAAAACAAATGATGAAGCTCATATAGAAGACTACGCCCCTGGAGAAAGGGTGACCGTGACTGAGGACCTGTCCTGAGGCATTCACACTGCCTGAGCTGTGGGGAGGCCCAACAACGCCTTTACTACTTGAGGAAACTGAGGAGCGCCAACATCTCCAGTCCACTAATGAGGAACTTCTACAACTGTGCCATCTGAAGTGTTCTGACATCTGGAGTTTTTGTGTGGTTCTCCTGCTGCACTAAGCTGATCTACACGCTCTCCAGCGGGTGGTAAAAACAGTGGGGAAAGTCACTGTGACTCTCCCACAGATCAGTAGCATCTATATGACCCGTGGTCTGCGTCACCGGCACCAGCCTACTCATCACCTTTTCCACCTGCTGCCCTCAGTTAGAAAGCACAGGTCCATAAACACCAGAACAACCAGACTGACCAACAGCCTGTATCCCCCGGCTGTGAGGCTGCTGAACACTGCCCCCTTTCCCTCTCTGCCTTTCTCCCATGGACAATAACCACATCCACCAATAAAATATCAGTGACCTGGACTTTGCACTGTTGCATTATTATATATGTGCTGCCCTGAATATCCTTACTGTGCTAATGTTTACACTGGAGTTAGTACTTCAGGGGTTATTGGGTGGGGTTTTACACCTGTAGTATTGTGCTTCACATCAAAACTAATGCAGTGTTTGATGCTCTAAACTATTGCTTCATATGAAAATGACAATAAAATCTCTTGAATCTGAAATAAATAAAGTAATCTAAATTTATCCTTATTGCGTAGAGTATTAACTACGGTGGTGTATTGCTATCACTCCCCAAAAAATATTTCGGCTCAGTATCACGTAATTACGTGAAAAGTTTCACGTTATAACGTGAATTTTTTCACGTTAACGTGAAATTATCACGTTATTTCATGATATGAAATTATCACGTTATTTCGTGATGTGGATTTTCACGTTATAACGTGAAATTATCACGTTATAGTAAGGATACGAAATTATCACGTTATTACGTGATACGACATTATCACGTTATTTTTCGGATACGCATTTATCACGTTATTACATGATATGAATTTATCACGTTATTTCGTGATAAGCATTTATCACGTTATTACATGATATTTTCACGTTATTACGTGAAAACGTCAAGTATGGTTTTACGTGATTTCATTATATGATCAGCCACAGCCAAACCACGCTTCCCTCGGTCCAGTCAACTCCAGCCTGGCATGGCCCACGCTGAAAAATGTGGATTCTCCACTCTTGAGATTACTTCGGGCTCGTGTTGTCTCCTTCGCATGAAAGCAAGATGTGTAAGTGTATTTTACTGTTTCGTCCCCAAGTTGGTTTTGTCGTACGGTAGCAGAATGCTCTGTAAGCAACTGCTGAATATTAGAGCTGGAGCGAGTTGTTCGCTGTGGGTAGAGCTGCTAAAAGTACCTAGTCTGTTTGCAATTCTGTTACAGCTCCTAAGAATTAGTTAAAAGACAAAAGCATTCATTTGACACATTTCGGTGTTTCCAGTTATTTATGAATAATGACCATAAAACATTGTTGACTGTATGCACTCAGACATAGACAGTAAGAGAAGGTTATTCAAAAATGTGGTGTAGTTAGCTAAGCTAAGCCCCGCTTCAACTCATCTGAGCCCGGCCTGGGCAGGGGAACAGCGCTCAGAGGTCCCGGTGCTCCTCCGGTTCAGGCCGGGCTCAGATGATCTGGAGCGGGGAGTGGTTAGGTGCCTCGGCCTGAGAAGCGCTTTTCTCCGAGAAGAACCAAGTGCACACGGAGGAGGCTCAGAACAGTAACGAACCAGACCGGATTCGCGCTTCTGTCCGGATGCTTTACTCCACCTCAGAACCAGCCGCAACGCTTCACCGGAGCAACCCGCACGGACCTAGAGTTCACTGCGCATTCTCGCTTTCCCCGCACGGAACCAGCGCGCAGAGGACGGCACGGAACCGCTCAGCGATGTCTTTACTGCTGTTGGCTGCTGCTGTTACCCGAACTCAGAGCTTCTGGGCTGATGTGCAGCGAGTTGTGTACAAAGTTATAGGCTACATGTGCTGTTTTATGAGTTTATGATGATAACTTGGGATGAGGACGGCCGTGGTGTTTTATGGTCTTTATTCATGAAGAACTTGAAACACCGACATGTGTCAAACGAATGCTTTTGTCATTAACTATGGAGCTATAAAACAGAATTGCAATTTTAGCAGCTCTTTGCCCACAGCGAACAACTCGCTACAGCACTCGTTCAGCAGTTGCTTACTGAACATTCTGCTATCTTGAGGACGAAACAGTAAAATACTCTTACAAGATCTTGCTCCATGTGAAGGAGATAGTGTTCTCCTTCGTTAGGAGCCTAAATGTGCTTCAGATTTAATTCTGATCCACTTCCTACTGACCTAAATACGCACAGCACATTTGCATTGAAACTGTACATAAAAACACCTTTTACAGCAAGTATTCACAACTAGGATGTAGATGCTTACATTTAAAAACATGAACCTCAACAACTCAAAGTTGGATCAGTGACATCCTAATAATTAAATCTCATTATTTAACAAAAGAAGCAGCAGATTTTTTACAATGTAAACGATGTTTATTTTATTCATTTATTACAAACACATTTAGGCTCCTAACGACTTAATAAACAGAACCGCAGCAGATCCGGGCCAGATAACCCGGTTCTGAACGCGGATCCAAAACGGGTCCTGGGCGGGTCCGCGAGATACGCAGCGGATCAGCCGCGCCTCCGCCGCGGATCCGGAAAAAGTAAGACAGTCACGCTTCTTCGGTGCAACTCCAACGTAATGGCCCAGGCTGAAAGTGTTGGATTCTCCACTCTCGACATTTTTTGGGCTCGTGGTGTAAACGAACACACCAGAACACTATCTCCTTCCATGGAGCAAGATCTTGTAAGAGTATTTTTACTGTTTCGTCCTCAAGATAGCAGAATGTTCGGTAAGCAACTGCTGAACGAGTGCTGTAGTACGAGTCGTTCGCTGTGGGGCAAAGAGCTGCTAAAATTGCAATTCTGTTATAGCTCCATAGTTAATGACAAAAGCATTCGTTTGACACATGTCGGTGTTTCAAGTTCTTCATGAAATAAAGACCATAAAAACACCACGGCCGTCCTCATCCCAAGTTATCATCATAAACTCATAAAACAGCACATGTAGCCTATAACTTTGTACACAACTCGCTGCACATCAGCCCAGAAGCTCTGAGTTCGGGTAACAGCAGCAGCCAACAGCAGTAAAGACATCGCTGAGCGGTTCCGTGCCGTCCTCTGCGCGCTGGTTCCGTGCGGGGAAAGCGAGAATGCGCAGTGAACTCTAGGTCCGTGCGGGTTGCTCCGGTGTAGCGTTGCGGCTGGTTCTGAGGTGGAGTAAAGCATCCGGACAGAAGCGCGAATCCGGTCTGGTTCGTTACTGTTCTGAGCCTCCTCCGTGCACTTGGTTCTTCTCGAGAAAAGCGCTTCTCAGGCCGAGGCACCTAACCACTCCCCGCTCCAGATCATCTGAGCCCGGCCTGAACCGGAGGAGCACCGGGACCTCTGAGCGCTGTTCCCCTGCCCAGGCCGGGCTCAGATGAGTTGAAGCGGGGCTTAGCTTAGCTAACTACACCACATTTTCTGAATAACCTTCTCTTACACTGTCTATGTCTGAGTGCATACAGTCAACAATGTTTTATGGTCATTATTCATAAATAACTGGAAACACCGAAATGTGTCAAATGAATGCTTTTGTCTTTAACTAATTCTTAGGAGCTATTTCTGCCATTTCCTGTGTGGAGCTTTAGGCTAAAGTAGCAGCTGCCGCTAATCGTGAAGCAGCTACTTGTTTTTTTTTTTTTGTTTTTTTTACTTTTTTACTTCTACTCTGATCATGTTCTTCCCCTCACAGCTCCAGAAGGAGACAGTGAACGTTCATCAAAGGTAGAAAACGTATGATGTGAATCATTATTCTCTACCCGCTTCGCGCTCAGAGAAGAACATCAAGCCTCATCATCGTAGCTAGCGAGACCAAACACTTTAGAAACACATCTCTCAAGTAAGAAACTATAGAAATGATCCCTGAAAGTATAGTCTTGAAGCAGCTACTTGTTGACGCAGCAGGTTGACGTGACGTGACGTGACAGAACAGTTGTCCAATCACACTCCACTAAATAAGCAGAGACTGTGATATTGTAAAGTTTGTGCCCTCAGCCCGAAGTGAAATGCGCCAATCAAAATCATTTTTAAATAGTAATAATAACGGCCTGTGCTGGGGGGTGAGGCACCAGTGGCCGCTAGGGGGGGCACGGCCCTCAAATGCCCCACCTTGCCGCCGACACCGCACGCATCACGGCGTGCTGAAGCCGTACAAGTGTGGTTTTTATTCATAGATGTGTTTTTCTTGAATCCTCTTTTATTTTGAAGTCCGGCGTGCGCAGAGCGGAAGTGGCGCTCGCCTGAACTTGGAAATTGTTGATCAGCGGAACTGAGCTTGCACTATAGACCTACTGCACTGACATGTTATCCTCTCCGAGCGGTTTTACTGAATGTCTGCAGGAATGGGGCGATCTGGACAAGGACTACCAGCACCTCCAGGTCAGCGAGCAGCCGGCCCGTGGCTCTGAGGCCGAGCGGGGACGCGGGGATGGCGGGGACGTCGGGGCTGGGGGTCGGGTCGGGCTGTCGGGCTGTCGGGGCTCGGTGGGCGGACAAGGGCAGGACAGCAGCTGTTGTCTGGGCGTAAACGGGAACTCTTCTGTCTTTAGATTCCCTCTGCTAAACTCACCGCGAACATTTATACAGGAACTATGAAAGCAGGGGCTTATCGAGGTGCAATAACCCAGTCTATTACTTACAGTCAGACACCACATCCATAATACACCTTTTTACTACAAAATGCAGAAATTCTGTTTATTTAGCAATTACAGTATATGTCTAACTTTTACTTTTACTTGTATATTCAAGTTGAAGAAGTTGTAGTAATGACAGCAAAAATAACTGTAGGGCAATAACTACTATTCTGAGTAATCTGATTTCTTTGTAATTGTTCACACCAGTGCAGGTTTTGACAGGAAAAGATTATGTTAAAAATGTGAAACTAATGTGGCAAAGGCAAGAATGAAAGATGTACTTTGTCTTCCAGTGTTATGAAAAATCGGATTTCTTTTGTGCACGTGAACACAGACCAAGAAGCTAATTACTGGGTTATCCAGTAATTCTAGTTATCTGATTTCTTCGAACCATGCAAATGTACCCCTTGATAATAGCCCATTGTTTATTAGTTGAACTGCAGTTTGGCTAAAGGCTCACTAGAGGGCGCACATAATTAAATTTTTTTCTAGATTTGTAAATGCTATTTGTTTTGGTAATCCCTAATTTTGCACCTGTAAATTGGATATGAAATGTGAATAAAATCAGTTACTATGCATTATCCAATCTGCAGCAGCGACCCTGTATTTGTGATGTATTGTACTTGTAAAAATAATTAAATCTAAAGGTGCACTCTGTAACTTTTTGGCTGGATGTCTGCCACCTGCTTGTTTCTATGTATATGTCACCACTCTGCTTGAAATGTTCCACAGTATGACATTAAACAGCTCTACTTTACATTTATTAAATTACAGGTCGTTTTATAGCTCAAATATATCTAGAACAACAACATTCTGACTGTGAGCGGGGTCGTCTCTCCACAGATCTGACCTGTAACTTGGCCTGATTTTGTCTCCCTGAAGATAGAAGGGTTTAATGTCATACTGTGAAACTTTCCAGGCAAAGCAAGGGAGGGAGAAAACGGACCCTCCACCAGAAAAGTTGCGCAATGTACCTTTAACTGTAAACTAAATATAAATTACTTGCCTTGAAGAATGCCACTAGATCACTTGACTGACCTTTGTCTAAAATACCTTTCACATAAGCACAACTCTAAAATAGATGCTGGTATCAGGAGTTTCCATATACAAGCTTATTTCCATGGAAGACCCATTATACTGCGCAGGGATATTTAGTATTCGACTATTTATAGAAAAGTCTGGGCACACCTTCTCATTCTGTGCGTGTGTTTTTTTCAACTTTTTATATTTTTGATGCATACGGAAGACATCAAATATATGAAGTAATATATTTATTTTTTATTTTATCTTTATTTAAGCAGGAAGTCGCATTAAGATTCAGAATTCCTTTTTCAAGCGAGACCTGGCCAAGGGAGCAGCCAACACAATCAATACAATTCAGTAAAATCACAAAGTATCGCATTATAAAACCATTGTCAGCTCACTCATCAACACTTTAAATCTTCAACACACTTCTTTAACTCATCAAGTGGCATTATAGACTCCAATTTAAGATCTTTCTGTAATTGATTCCAAGACTAAGGATGGGTGTCGCTAAGAAGTTGCAGATACGATACATATCTCGATACAGTGCACTTTCGATACAGTACAATATATTTCAAATCAATTTGATACAGTTCAATAAAAATAAAGGCTAAATCATGGCTGTGATAATAAAAGTCTTTGTTAAACCACTTCTTGTGCAAAGTTAACATGAAACACAAACATTTTAATCCTCAAAACAGTGAAAATGTCAAATGTGTCGCATAAATGAGTTTCCTTTCTCTGAACAAGCAACAAAACTGTAGCTCTGTAATAAAATTATTTAACAAAATATACCAAAAAAATACTCTTGGTGATATATCGATACAGTAGCCCACGATATCGATACTGTATCATCACATTGAACGATACGATCGATCGATATTTTGAATCCACTTTGTACAATATGGAAGTATGTAGCAGAGAAAAAAAAATCGAGCATAGCAAAGGGTGGCTACTTTGCCGATTTGAATATGAAAATAATATAAATAAAATAAATAAATACATTTATTAGAGTTATTGCACTTTTTCTCTACTACATAATTCCATATATCTTCCTTAATGTATCTGATGTCATGTGTGTTTAAAGTGTAGTAAAAATTACAAATTTTATGTTTTTTTCATTGTAAACTTCAGTAATGATTTTAAATTGCTTAACAAATGAAATATTTTATTTTATGAAATAATATATTTTATCTGTTCAAAATGGCAGAAGTGATTAAGCCCTGCCTCTTCGTAATGACCATTGTGTTTTCACCATGGCAACCTGAAAAATAATTAACGAGAGCTATCTTTTTACTCTACATCTATGATCCAGAGTCAGATTTTTTTTATTTTTTTTTAAATAATCACAAGAAGTAAGTTCCAAGACGCGGGCGAGGATGGGGGGTAGGTGAAAAGTGAAATCAGGTTTTTTCTGAGCAGTGTCTTTTCTCTGCAGGAGATCCACCGGCTGTACAAACAGAAGCTGGAGGAGGTGACCAAACTACAAAATAGCTGCTCCACGGTCATTGCTAGGCAACGCAAGAAAATCAAAGAGCTCACGACCTCACTCGAGGAGTAAGTCGCACAATTAATGAGTTTTCAGTTTCATTTTGTCTTCAAGGTGCAGTGTGTAACTTTTCTGGTGAAGGGTTCGTCAAATGCTTTTTTCCAGGGAGATATTGTTGTTTTGTCTGGAATGTTTCACAGTGTGGCATTAAACCTTTCTACCATCATGGAGACCAAACCAGACCAAGTTACATTTACAGGTCAGATCTGTGGAGAGACAATTCCACTCACAGTCAAAATGCCTGTTTATGTACCTTATTTTTCGCACCTTAGAGTGCGCTCATAAGCCTCCAACCCCATCAAAAAACGACTGCGCGCCACAATCCAGAGTGCCCTATACACGAATTCACTCGGGTGTCCCAGCACGACCTCATCACTCCACGCGGACGAGGAACGAACCGAAAAAGCGAATGCAATGTGCCACTTCTAGACACAACTGAGTCACTGTGAACATTCCAACAATCCAGCGGTCCCAGACAGCACCCTCCCTACACGCCACAACTGAACAAAGCCCAGAGTCACCGTGAACGCCACAAACAAAGTCCCACTGACCCATCCAACTGTTGTGTTTCGTTTAAAGTCCGGTGCGGTTAATTTGTGAAAAAAGTTCAAAAATAGACCATTTAATGACAGTGCGTCTTATAATCCAGAGTGCCTAAAAGTGCGAAAAATACGGTAAGTATTTTTATAAAACCACCTGTAATTGAATAAATGTAAAATAGCACTGTTTAAAGTCATACTGTGGAACATTTGAAGCAGAATAATGACATATCCATAGAAACAAAAAAGTGACGGGCCCCTAACCGAAAAGTTACACAATGTACCTTTAAAGCGACCACCTGCAATTTTATTTTATTTTATTTTATTTATTTCAGTTGGTTTATAGTTGAGCTTTATGACTCAGCGTGAACAGACCTGAAATTTCATAGTAAAAAAAAATTTCATAGTACTACCACATGTCCATATATATAGTTTCCTTTCTCAGGTTTTCTTTCTTTTTATTTAATTTCTTGGTCTCATTTCTCATTTCTTTCTTTTGATCATGTATAATTTTTATGTGTTTCCTCCTTCTTCTTTTTTATTATCTTTTTTATTGATCAAATTTTATATTATTCATTTCATTTTCATTATTTAAAATTATTATATTATTTTTGCTACTATGTTCATTTAGCAATTTTATATTATTAATTTGAATTTCATTGTTTAGAATGACTTTAAATTATACGTTTTAATAAAAATTCCTGAGCATAATTTTGAGGGGGTAAAAAACAATTAAAAAACAGCCTCTGTTTGCAGTTGTTTTAAATAGTTTTCATTGTTTTCTCTCACAGATGTAAAGGGAACCCCCTGCCGGCCCAGCTCAGCCCTGATGACGTCCTCACCATCACAGAGATCGAGGAGAGCATCAGCGAGAGGAGCGGGGCCTTCCTGGAGATGGAAGCTTTCCTGCCAAAGAAAAACGGGTTGGTTAATTCATATCTCACACGTACAGATTTCAGGATTATCCAGACAACAATATAATCCTAAAAACTGAATAATAAAAATCATGACAATCGCAAGAATAAGAAATTTCAGCTCAGTCTATACTCCTAAAAAGTACACTTTACGTGCTGACTACACTACAAGAGAATTTGCCCCATTTTGGATGAGATTTGCTTCTCCATGAGTTTGGGGAGGCGTGACACGACTTTTTGTCTTCATGTGTGATTTTGACGCCACTGCGCTCCTTGTCTGTGTGATGTCAGTGTGACTCTGAGCGGCTCTGTCATATCGAAACCAAACCAAGGAAATAAAATTTTTAAACCTAAAAAAATTGCCAAACTGGGAAACGAGAAAAGTAATATCCTCAGTAAAATTTTAAATACAATGATCTTAACTGTGTTTCAGTGAAATGAGTTGTCCAACCTGTCATAAACACTTTAACTGTGATCATCGTAACACTAAAATGTGATGTCTTTAATCACTATTCTGTAGTAAAGCTGTGAATACTTTGTTTGTGTTACAGGTTGTACTTGAGTCTGGTTTTAGGAAATGTCAACGTTACACTCCTCAACAAACAGGCAAAGTAAATCTTTTCATTAATTTTATCTGTGTTGGTTGTTTGTTTGTTTTTTTAATCTGTCTTTACAGTTTTTGAGGCAAACACAGTGTTACAGACAATGTACAGACCCGTACAGATCCACACAGAACCGTACAGACCTATACAGGCCCACACAGACACACACAGATGCACACAGAGCCATACAATCCCTGGTGTTTCACAGTTTGGTATTAAACTTAACTATCTCCTCGGACACAAGCAGGAGATTTCACCAAACCAAGATAACAGTCAGGTCTGTGGAGAGGCCCGCTGACTGTCGGTGTCCATGTCTGTGAGCAATAAAAAGACTGAACAAATGGAAGATAGATACATTTAATGCCAAAAAAAAGAGAAAAAGTTACGAAAAGTACCATATTTTAGATTTTTATTTTAAATTACGTAAGTATGAAGTGAATGAATAATGACCACAGCTTTGAGAAGCTTGGACATGTCTGTAAAGAACATTACAAGTGTATGAACGCTGGATTTACTTCAACTGCAACTTTATTTATAACACATTTAAAAAAAAAAAAACACAGGCTGACCAAAGTGCTATAGAACATAATTAAAAACTATAAAAACTATAAAACAACATATGTATAAAACCAGAATTGAATAAAACAATACTATAAAATGTCAGCATCTCAAACTGTGTCGAAGGCCAAAGTCAACAAGTGTGTTTTAAGAAGAAGAAGAAGAGATTCAAAAACAGATATAGAAAAGAGCCCTGTCTATGTTCAAAGGCAGCTCATTCCACAGTTGAGCAAAGCAAGATGGCGCCAGTGTGTTTAGCTTGTTGTCTGCTGCTGCCAACTTTTTAATTTGTTTTTTGATTGTTTCTGACGCAAATCTGTCGAAATGTCAACTCTTTACTGGTCTATAATCGCCAAACATACGTGTAATGACCTGAAAACCACTCCTTGAAATGTTTTGTATTTTGTTCAGATTTGCCTACAAAGACGAGTACGAGAAGTTTAAACTGATCCTCACCGTCATCCTCCTCGTCTTCTCCTTCACCTGTCGATTTTTGTTCAGCTACAGGTAAAATGTCTGCTCCACCAGTACTGTAGATCCTGTAGGAGTAAATGTGGTTATTTCATGGATTATATTTCATTTGTTCAGAGCTTTAGACGCCATGTTTAACTTCCTGCTGGTGTGGTATTACTGCACACTGACCATTAGAGAGAGTATACTCATCAACAACGGCTCCAGGTTGGGTAGTCAAACTTGTCTCCTCCGTTATGATACAGTATGATTCTTATATTTGTGTTTGTGTCATTGTGTCCAGAATCAAAGGCTGGTGGGTTTTTCATCATTACGTGTCGACATTCCTCTCTGGGGTCATGCTCACATGGTAAGAGATTATCATTACGGAGTACCGTATTTTTCGCACTATAAGGAGTAAAAGTCGCACCAAATGTATAATGAACAAGAAAAAAACATATATAAATTTCACTTTTTTGGGGGGAAATTTATTTTATAAAATCAGAGACCAGAAACCGACATTTCATCTTGAAAGTCAAGTTCTAGTAAAAACAATAGAACAGAGAACAACAGATTGTTAACGTCACATATGAACAGTTCTTCAGATAAACTATAACATAAACAACAGAACAGAACAAGTTTAACAAACTCTCCATCTCACTCCAAATCACTAAATCCACTGAATTCTTCATCCTTGGTGTCATTTCTGAGCAACTCCACGACCTCCAGAGGTAAACGGAGCGCTGCTTCCTCTTCTGTATAGCTGTCGTCAGACTCACCATCAGTTCTAGTTAGAATTATTCTGGCCTTTCTGAATCCTGATGGATTCAGGATGGTTTCAGTTGTCACTGAAGTCCAGGCTTTGTCCATCCATCTAGTGACTTCAGGAAAGTCGTCACAAGTTTCTCGCTCACTCCAGACTTACTTTCTGCTGCTTGATTACCATTTTCAGCTGCATATTTCACTGCTTGGAACTTGTGCTCAGTCTTCTCAGTTGTCTTAATAAGTTTGTTTAAATTTAAAATGTTCAGTGGTACAGAAGTAATGGTGAGATCAACTGACATGATACAGACAGGACAGCGGCTCTTTCTGCAGGAGACATGTGCAGTAGAGCCAAGTGACAGTGGTACAGGAGTAACAGGAGCAGCAGATACAGACACACAAGACTAGAGCGCCCTCTTGTGTCTTCAGTGTGAAAAATTTTAATACATAAGTTGTACCGGAGTATAAGGACCACCCAAACCATGAAAAAAATTTGACTTGTAGTCTGAAAAATACAGTACGTGAAAAGGTTAAGGTGCTTTTACAGTAAAAAAAAAAAAAAAGTATTACAGTCCCAACTGAGCCTGTGTTGCCAGAGCCTAAACCTGCAGATAGAGGACACATACAAGTTTGTCTCATTCTCAGTTTCCTACTATAAAATAATTAAATATTGTCACCATAAAACAAAATAATTAATTGAAAATGATTAATAAAGTCTATCTAATAATCTAATCTAACATATGCAGTAGTATTATGTAAGTGTCATTATGTAAGTATTCTGTGTTCTCTGTGTTCTGTGACAGGCCTGAAGGAGTACTTTACCAGATGTTCAGAAACCAGTTCCTCACGTACTGCATGTACCAAAGTAAGATCTCCACTGTTATGTTTTTTCAAGTCAGATATTGTATATTTTAACAGTTTTTTGTTTCCTCCATTAGGTTTTGTCCAGTTCCTTCAGTACTATTATCAGAGTGGCTGTTTGTACAGACTACGGGCGCTCGGAGAGAGACACAACATGGACCTCACAGTGGGTAAGACAGAGGAAAAGTTAGAACTCTATCTGTCTTTGCTGTTTAACTGTCAAAACTACAATTAAAATATATTGTACTGTTTTAAAGAAACTGTATGTACCCACGCTCTTACAGTTTAAAAAAAAAAAAGTATTACAGTCACAACTGAACCGCTGTTGCCAGAGCCTAAAAATATAGATTGAGGGCACATACAAGTTTTTCTTATTCTAAGTAAATGGACTCATGTGTCATTAGAACCTCCAGAATTCACTCACTGAGCTGCAGATTTGGGATTTCAGCACTGAAACTGGCAACCCACATGGGAAACTGTGAGGCTCATTCTGCCAAAACACCAAATTATAATAAGTATAACACTGAATGGATGCCCACAAATAATCAGGCATTGAATATTTTTGTAATAAATCAGCATTAGAATTGTTGCGGAAGTAATATTTGATTCCATGTTTTGATCATGCCCATGGTTCCTTTACTATAATCTGAATATTGTCTTTGGAATTAGAAATAAATAAATAATAATAAAAAAAAAAAAAACTATTTCCTGGTTCCAGAGGGATTCCAATCCTGGATGTGGAGAGGTCTCTCATTCCTGCTGCCATTCTTATTTTTTGGTCATGTAAGTTTACTACAAACATTCAAAACACACACATATACACACTAAGTAATTAATAATTCAAAAACACAATTTTACAAGATTTTTTAGAGCCTGTATTGTTTTATAATATCGCATTCAAGTGCCTATGACAGGTTAGACTTCATTTGAGTTCGACATGTCTGATCTTAACTAATTATTAGAGCTCCCCGCCAGATTCAGATAGACTATAGAGATGTTATGTATTTAAAATTTTGTTATTATTTTATATTTTGCTTGTTCTGGATTCAATGTTTAAGCAAAACTATTATTAAACATTTATTTTAATAAGAAGGTTTAACATTACATATCTCGAAAGAAGAGAAAACATGCAGATGTTGAAATTTTTCAATAAATAGTAGTTTGGCCCACGACTTAGTTGCAGTTTTTAATTTTGACCTCTGTGAATTTAAGTTTGACACCCGGGGTTAAGATCATTGAGATTTTCCTTATATCGTAACATCACACTAAGGAATTACATGAATGTTACGGACGTACCGGGCCAAAACGCCTCTAATGTTCACAGAAATGATATGGAGATTGCAAATATAAGACCCTAACCCTAAACACCATTATATTGTTGGAATAATGTTTAAGTATCAAAAAATACAATTCTTCTTAATGTGACGTCATTAATATGTTTAGAACCTTTGACTTTCTGTAATTTTTAAAACATTCTTCAGCTTTTCTTCTTGACTTTTGTAAAACTATAATACATATTTACAACAGGTAATATCCCATCAAATTTAGTACAAACATAAGAATCATAAAAACCTGTCATGCACTTTCAACTTATCTTTTACTTATTCAGTTATGCAATATTAATTAATTTTTCTTCTTGTAATACAGTTCTGGCAGTTTTACAACAGCATAACTCTCTTCAAGATGGCCCAGTTACCAAATTGTAAAGAATGGCAGGTTTGTGCTTTACATTATGGTCGCACTTTATACTAACTACACTTTAAATAGTCTTAATAAAGCATGAAGAAAGGCTTAATCATAATGAACAAATGGTTTATTAAGAATGATTAAGGCTTAGGATGTTATGTATTTGTTTGTAAAGCATCTTAGAGTCTCCAAAAAAGCTCTATATAAATCCAATATATTATTACTGTAAATTCCGGACTATAAGCCACTACTTTTTTCTCACACTTTGAACCCTGCAGATAATAAAACGATGCGGCGAATATATGGACGGATTCTTTGTTTGGCACATTGTCCATTCATATAAACGATTTATGGTTTGGCAACACAGCGGATACGTGCAGCCTGAGTGTAGAAAACGTCTGAGCGACACTAGCTCGCGATATTGTTGGCGCACTCAAATAGTTCATCGCCGTGTGAAAAAATAAGTTATGCTGCTAAATTAACATTATGGATACGTCTTACCCGCATGCGTGAATGATGAGAAGAAACGTCTCAAACTTCAGTAGCCGGACGTCCACTCATACCTGATTGATAGAACTAACCTCACCCCTGAGAGAGTCTGAAATCTGTTGAAATCCTCCAGGACATTGACATGATACAAATAGGACAGCGGCTCTTTCTGCAGAAGTTATGCGCCGTAGAGCACAGCGAGAGACGGGGGTGATGCGCCGAGGAAGTTTTGAACAGTTATTTTGCACTTCATACACACACCCTTCTAATGGAAAACACATAAACAAATGTGATGATGCAGCTTTTAAGTTGAAAGCAGCTGATGTGGCTGTGGAAGAAGGAAACAGCTGCTGCACGTGAGCTCGACATCAGTGAGTCGATGGCGAGACTTTGGCATTGTGACGAACTGACTCAATGCAAAAAGACGACAAAAGATTTGAGGCAATAAAAGCAGACGGCCCTTGATAATGTTCTTGAAGATGTGGACACCTGTCCCTTATATTCAGGTGCTTCCTATATATGTACAATTTGAAAATTTTGTTAAAATTTAGTTGATGCGGCTTATATTCAGGTGTGCTCAATAGTCCGAAAAATATGGTATTTATTTATTATTATAGTAGCTACTTAATTACCCAACCAAAAAGTTGCAGAAAGCACCTTTAATAAACTATTTGTTCAATATGATTTAAGTCTTTGTCCAGGATAATTAAGATGTAACTCTGTAGCTCATCCCAAACTTACTGATGTGATATGATTTCTGTGTTTGTGCTGCAGGTGGTGATGTGTGGCTGCTCGTACGCGGTCCTCTTCATGGGAAACTTCTTCACCACGCTGAGAGTGGTTTACCAGAAGTACATGAACAACCAGGACAAGTCCAAAAGCTTATAAACAATGAATGTGACCCAGAATCACGCACAGCGCCCTCTAGTGTATGGGTTTTCACACCAGTAATCGAGTGCTTTGTTTACGTTGAGTCCTGTGGATTTCAAAGCTTTCTGAAAATTATATGTAGCTCAGTGTTACTGATGTTTTTAAGTGTTCCTAATTCTGGGAATGCTACGGTGAGTGTGTCCAATAAAACACTCCAAAAGGAAATGTCTGATTTTTGCAATGAATGACTGAGGGATTACACAGATAACTTACTTAATACCTAAAAAAAAGTCAAGCTCATGACAACAAACCTGTATGCAAGAACCCCAAACCAAATCATGACATAAATATAGTCATATCATGTATTATATTATACTCACTGTCAGCAGAGCCTCTCTACACAGCTCTTATTGTGACCATTAAAACTCAGTTCAGGGTATATTGTCTTTCTGTGTGATCACCGCATTCCCCACAGGCACACTTCACTTTATTCTCACAGGTGCAGGCCATTCTGAATTTTTCGCCTTACGTAATCAGAAATTCTCACACACTATTGAGCAAATCATGACTCTATATAACACATACAAATAATAACAAAATGAGAGCACAACTCAGCACCCCCACTTGCTCGCATTTGAAAAATACATTCATATACACACACAATCAGGTCTATACACCTATAACATTTTTATACTGCATCAAACAAACATTTCAAAATTTAACAACTTAAGTTTGGTTGCTGATTTTGTCATAACATCTACAACCATCTCATTGGTGGAACAGTACTCCAGGCTGATCCTGCCATCAGTTAACATGGACCTCACAAAACACATTTGCAGCGTTGTCTATGAACAGGATTATTTACTAAAGCTGTAACTCCCTGGTTGTCCTCATAGATCTTAGAAGAATATTTGCGAACATCAAAACACTCCAGGAACTGTTTTAAGTACATACACTCCTCTATGGTTGCTGCTAAAGACAATATACTCAATCTCAAAGGTGGATAGAGCAACAGTAGGCTGTCTTTTAGTCTTCCATGAGACTACTGGTCCATCCTTGTTTAGACTGATAAAATAACCTGTTGTGCTTTTTCAATCACTCACATCAGCAGCCCAGTTTGCATCACTGTAAGCATACAAAGTATTTACACCAGCCTCTTCATGTGATCATCATGAGTGTTTGCCTGTGGGTTTGGCTGGTCTGGTCCGTTGAGCACCAACAAAATAGTAGGACAGTTTTGTAAAGACACATTATTTAAATTTTTATCATGTATGAAGTCACTATGAAGAGCCTATGAGAAGCAGGGACAAAATAGGCCTACTGCTGTTCCAAGCTTACCAGTGCACAAAATGTTAAACTTTATCTTATTGCAGCAGGACACAGCATCAAAGATACACAAGTTTAGAGCTGCTACTGAGCTGCTCTGTCTCTGACCTCTATAGAGGAGCTGCATCTGTGCCATACTGCCCCCTACTGGACACGCGGGGAGCACCATCCTCCCGAGAGGTGTCTATAGAAGTGTTTCCCAATTTTTTTTTCTGGGGACCCATATTGTAAGAGTCACAAACTTTCATGACCCAAGTCACTAGACATAAATCACAAACTAAAGACGTATTTGACCATTACTGAACATTAATGAGGATATTTTATTGTTGACTGAGTGATCGTGTCTGTTTGAACAATTAGTATTACTCAAGTTTTAATCAATGAAAAACAGTCATTGAAGCAGCAATAAAAGGATTCATAAGTCGCCTATTTGGACATTAAACGTAACCCATTTCTTTTTCTTTTCAACATTGAATTGAACCAGCAATATTGGAGCAAAATAGTCAAGACCCACATGCAGATCGTGACAAGGCGACCCCAAAAAAATCCCTTGCAACCCACCTGAGGGTCGCGACCCAGTCTTTGGGAAACAATTGTCTATAGGAGAGGATAAAAAATAAATAAAGAAAGATAAACATAAAATGGGTGCACTGAAAGACTGAAATTAGAGACTGGGCTCTGAAAGAAACTGCCCATAAGCCACACAAGCCACTGACCTCTTTCCATAAAAATGGTTTTAAAATGGCACTGAAGTAATAGCCCTGCTCCTGCCACATGTCCGGGCTCCACACAAAAACAAACACAAACACAAACAAAAACACAAACACCACTGTAAGATGTGTGAGAGGCAACTCACAAACCCGCCAGCAGAGGGAGACATACTCTGGTTTAATGCACTGCTACTGACATCAGAGAATGATCTTTAAACAAAATCTTGCACAAAAAGCATAGCTGTCATTGTAACTAATGTTTGTAAGAATAAATCAGCATTAGAATTGTGATCAGGAAAAGCTTTTTTGAGTTGATGTGTACCTTGTATCTGGGGCTGAGATGGACCAATATTAGCACCTCAGTTATCAAGCTTAAATCTCCAGGACAGGCCGATGTTTTGTTTTGGTCGACCTGCTGCCTAAAGAACACACACAAAGCTTTAATTTAGCACTTTAATACAAACAGATATACACAAACATGATACACAAATGTACACAGAAGCAGTGTGCAGTAGTTTCACACTGATTGTGTTGTGGAAGTGCTCTGAAGGGAGAGTGACTAATACGGTGTTTTTGGCAGATATCACATTTACAAAACAGTAAAACCCTCTTTACTTTGTATTTGTTGCTACAAAAGTCACATAACTGTTAAACTCCGCAACACTCTTAACATATATGTGCATTCTATTCACTCCTAATATTCAAATTCTAATGTTTTTTGTTTTTTTTTAAATCAACGCAAAGAATTATTTTAGTTATAATAATTATTAATTCATTCTTGGAGTCCATTTGAATACTGTAGTTTTGTTTCGTATATTGAAATAATCGCCCTAAATGCTGACTTCACTCGAGTATAACTGACAGTAGTGGTGGAATGTAGTAGTAGTGGTATTAGTAGTAGAAGTAAAGTACTGTACTTAGTAAATATTTTAGGTATCTGTACTGGGTACTTTTTACTTTTACTTCACTATATCTGAGAGCAGGTATCTGTACTTTCTACTCCACTACATTTATGAACACGACTGAAAAGTAAAAATATAGTGTAAGACCTGTTGAAACGCGTGAGGGTTTTGTTGTACAATTTTTTATAGCACATTCTTAGTTTGAGTAAACAAAAATATACCAATAAGAACAGTTAGGGGGGAAAAAAACAAAACTTAATCAACATAATAGAAAGATAATAGAAATAACAGTTCTAAGCACTTCTAAGTCTTAGTTCTTTGGTTTAAGTCTTGTCAAGGCATTTTAAGAGGATAAAGTAGCATATTAACAGTTTTGTTAGTCTCCACAAACTATTGCAATAAATATCGTACCGTGAGATGTATATCATGACAATATCATATCTTGAGACTTGGATATCGTTACTTCCCTACTTGCTACATTTAAAATAAATTTTAAAAAAAAAAACACTTTTTGCTCTAAAAATAAGAAACAAAATCAAATGTTGCTTGAATTAAGAAAAACACACTTGTTCCATTGGTAGATAATTTTACTTGTCAAGTTGAATTTACTCAAATAAAGTAAAATGTTCTTAATTTAACTCACTTTAACTTACCTAGATGTTGCTTTTTTTCCAGTACAAAATCTGCAGAAATGTATTTATGTTTTACTCTTAAAGCACATTTTAAAACAGATACTTTAATACTTTTATTTAAGTAGATTTTATTCATGTGATACTTTTACTTGAGTATTTATTTGCTCTTTTTGCTCTAAAAATAAGAAACAAAATCAAATGTTGCTTGAATTAAGAAAAACACACTTATTCCATTGGTAGATAATTTTACCTGTCAAGCTGAATCTATGTTTTTTTTTTTTTTTTTTTTTTTTTCTTAATTTAAATCATTTTAATTTACCTAGATATTGTTTTTTTCCAGTGTAAAATCTGCGCAAAATACATTTATTTTTTACTCTTAAAGCACAAAACGGTCTGGAATTTTTCACAGTATAGTGCTGAACCTTTCTATCCTCACGGAGACCAAACCAGACCAAGTTACAGGTCAGATCTGTGGAGACGCGACCCCGCTCACAGTCAGAACGCTGATTTTTAGGTATTTTTGAGCTGTAATTGACCTGTAATTGAATAAATATAAGGTAAAACTGTGACATATCCACAGAAACAAGCGGGTGACGGATTTCCAACCTAAGTTACGCAATGCAAATTTGAGTCGATTTTACTTTTCCGTGAGCTTGTCCGTGCTCTGGTATCTGTAGTTCTTGCACCGCTGACTGACTGTGAACTTCAGGGTGTGTCTCTCCATTAACAGGCAGCAGTTAAACAGGACCCGGTGACAGTGCGTGTTCAGACTCCTCATTTACCTGGGGCTAAGCAAACACATGGTCCCATTCAGAGCAGCGACACAGAGACAGAGACACCTGCTTTGTGCGTCGGAGCGGCCCTACTGCGATACAACAATGGATTCTGTCAACACGCTGTAACCACCGTCCAGAGCTCGGTGGGAAAATGCTCACACCAACAGACTCGGGCCCATCTTTGCATGACGGGGGTAGGGAGAAGAGTATGGGGTTATAGCTGAAATTTGAATGTTAAATTTGAAAATAAACATCAGATTACCGTATTTTCTGGAGTATAAGTCACACCAGCCAAAAAATGCGCAATGAAGTAGAAAAAAATCTATATAAGTCACACCGAACTATAAGTCGCACTTTTTGGGGAAATGTATTTTGTAAAATCAGAGACCAGGAACAAATATTTCATTTCATCATTTCATTCATTTTAAAAGACAAATTATAGTAAAAACAACAGAACCGAGAACAAAAGGCTGAATAGGCGTTAATATGTTAACGTAACATATTAACAGTTATTCAGATAATTATAAACAACAGAATTAAATTCAATTTAATTTCTCTCCAGCGACTAGATCAGGAATCGGAATACAATAGACGGTTTGTAAGTGTGAGTTCGGGCACCAGCCAATCAGTGAAGAGACAGACATTCTGTGTTGTCGATGATTCCCGAGATCGAGGATTTAAAGCCGGAACAAAGAGAATGTTTGGTGAATTTTAACAAGGAGGAAGACGTTATTGCCCTTCTTCCTACGGGATTTGGGAAAAGCTTAATATACCAGTTATCCCTGTTAGCGGCACATTACATATGTCATGACCAAATAGCAGCGACTGGTTAAATTAAAAAAGTACCTGCCTACCATCGAGCGAACGAATCCTAATGCT